GAAATGGGGTGCAATCCTAGCTAGGGGATAAGGTGTGTGTGTGGGGTGGGGGGACAGGTAGAGATCGACAGAGCCGCAGGCTAAGCAGAGGCCTTTTACAGGGCTGTTGCGCCATGAACTCCAAAATGGAGATGTTCTAACTGTGAGAAATGTTGGCAGTAGAGCGAGCCGTATTTGAAAGCAGCTCAATAAATGTTAGTGATTATTAGGAATGCTAGTGGCTGTTTCTTAATGAAGAGTGTTATTTTTAGGAAAAGCATAATTACCTAGAAAAGTATGCCCTTGGGGTGCTGACTGAAACAGAAGATGATCATCAAATCAAGGCTTTACCATCCTCCCCCGCAAAGTGTTTAGGAGGGCATAAATCACTTCCCAGTCACCGGCTTTGTAAATCCAAATTAGGATTGGCAGTGGACACGTGTTTTGGGCTCTAGGCTCACAGGGAAGTCTCCTGAGTCCCTCCTTGTCTGACTTAGTGCTAAAACCTCAGAGGGAAGAGTCGTCTCCATGGTGACTGGAATAAGCTGCTCAGGGGAACAGCGCCAGGGGCTCACCTAGGTCGTGAGCTATGGGATTGTGAATAATAAGTCAGCACTGTTCCGTGGCATCATGGCTGCAAGACCCAGAGTGATGGGAGAGGAAACTGCAGGTTTCCATGGCCCCAAATAAACACAGCCTGCTCAGACCATCTGGTGGCCTGGATTCTGGGAGGAGGGAGTAGAGCGAACAGACAAGCTGCACCTGGGGCCGAGGGAAGAGCAGCTGGCATGCACCTCACCTGGGGCTGCCGAGAACCTTCCAGAATAGAGACCTTTCTGGGAGAATCAGGCTTGAGAGAGGCCACCTGTTCCCTTCAAGTGGTGGCCCCTGAAGGCCTAGGGTGGCCCTTGTCTTTCCTTCCTGGTCGTCCAGGGGCGGAGATGGTGCTTGGGGAAGGGAAGCGTCACAGGGGAGAGGAGAAAGAGGGAGGAAAAGGCTGAGCTGGCCAGGCACCCTAGCCCCGGAGGACTTTGTAGACAGACACCGGGGCTTCTGTGTGCCCTGGGAGTTGAGGTGCCACTCCCAGGGAGGGATCTAAAGCACTTTCCTTTCTTCATTCTCGGATGTGCCTGGGTCAGATCAGCTCTTAAAACTCAACCTCGTGTTGAGAGAGGGGAAGTGCAGCATCGGATGGTGAACTGGTCAGGGTTCAGGTGTTTCTATGTGACTTGGAGTGACTGACTTAGCCTCTAAGCTGCAATATCCTCATCAGTAAAATAGAGATTTTACAGCTGCCGCATAATGTTACCAGGGGTATTAAATACTGGCAAAGCTCTTAGCCCTGCCTGGCACAGAGGCAGCTGGCAATAAAGTACGCTGCCCTGGAGGTGGGGGTGGGGGCGGTGCTAAGGACGTCCAGTGGCCCTGGGAGGAACTGGACTGCTGATTACATTTCTTTTCCCTGCAGCACTGGGTCGGGAAACCGGACTGCGTTTATCCCAGCCGGGCTCGCCTCCGCTTGGGGCTGGACTGGTGCATAGGGCCACCTGATGTGAGTGGGCAAAGCTTCCACCTTCTTCCTGGAGACTGCTTTCTGCACCCTGAAAATGAACCACCCCACACTTTCAGCTCATGGTTTACCTGGGCAGGGGAGGCAGGGCTTTTTTCGGGTCGTGGCCTTGGGGTGAGGGAGCGGGGGTCAGCCTCAGTAAAGAGGAGGGAGGCAGGGGATGGACAGTGGGGAGTAGGGACCTCATGATGGCAGGAAGGTAGAAAGTGGGAAAAGGACTACCAGAGGGCAGAGAGGGTGGCTGGACATGGCCCATAGGGGTGTCCTGCTCCTCCCGCCACTGTGCTGGGTGTGCCACCCCACCATCCCCCCATGTTTTCCATCCTCTGGAGATGGGTGACAGCAGATAGAAAAACCCAGCCACCATTTGTGTGGGGCACACAGAAACCCCCCTCCCCCAACTGTCCAGTTGATGGAAACTGTAAAAGCGCTAGTTCAGGGCCCTCTCTGGTGGCGCTCGGGTTAAAGCGCAGCACTACACAGCCAGCTGCAGCCGCTTCAACTCAAGTTCAATCCCGGCTGGGAGCTGACCCGCAGGGCGCGGCAGACCTCTCCTGTCTCCCCGCTGCTCCCCTCAGCAGTGTACTTCATCAATCTGCCCGTTCTGCTCCCTACTCCGTCTCTGGAGAATCCTCTCAACCCACGCACCTCTGGCCTGCACCCCAGTTCTGTATGTGTAAATAAATATTTTCTTAAAACTACACAAACCAGTAGTTTGCCAGCTCTGGGCTCACCACTGCCTGGTCCTCACCTCCGGGGTCCAGAAAAGTGGCTCCCTCAGGAGTGGGGCGGGGACAGTGCTGGTGTGAGGCCCCCAGGCCCCTCCCAAGGTGACTCAGGGAGCTTTTCCCAGAACATAAGCAGGGATGTGGGCTGCCTGGGAGGGGTGGCAGAGGGGAGTCCCATCCCTTCTCTGCTGAGGAAAACCGGCGCCCCCCAGAGGTTCAGGAACAGTTTCTCTGTGGCTCCTGGAGTCACCTGTGCTGCAGGCAGGTGCGGGCTGAAGGATAGGCAATTTCAGCACAGGAGGGGAGCTTCCTGGCAGGGGTGCACGGTGCGGGGTGGGGGGGCCCTGGGTGGGCTGGGCTCCCGAGGTGCTTCTCCTGCCTTGCGGGCACCTCTGGCCTCTGCCCTCTGAGCCTGGGCAGCGGCTCCCGAGTTCCAGGCGACAGCAGCAGTCCGGCCCAGGACCGGAAAGCAGGTGCTTGCTGAAGAAATCGGGACACCCACGAGCAGTGACCCTTGCAGGCCAACAGCCGGGCCGGCCACAAGCCCACCTGGCACAGGGTGCATCTTCCCACCGGGGAGAGCTGGGTGTGCTCTTGTTGCCAGAGGGGTGTGGGCGTTGCAGTTTTCGGTTCAGGGAGATGTTCAGGGCTTCCTAGTCGGAAGAGCGGCAAGGCCCTGGTGTCACGTCAGTGGCTGACCGGAGCCCAGAGTGCAGCTCCCTGAGGACAGGCGTGTGCGAGGGTCCCTCAGAGCACCTGGCCTCAGCTTCCTCCTGCCCCCCTGCGCAGCCTGGCAAAGCTTTGTTACCAGCAGGTGCTCTGGGGCCTGCCTCTACCCACCTTGCTGCTCTCCGGGGAACCCTCCTGGATCTTCCCTGGGTCCCCTTCGGGGGGGGGTCGTCCCCCACCCCTCACTGTGATTCGCAGTCGTTTTCTTCTATAGTGGCTCTCTGGAGGAGCCTATTCAGCGAGATGTGTTTCTAGTTGCTCCCTCAGGAAACTTTCATACCCAAGATATACCAGATATTTCTAGGTGCTGAACTCGTCCCTCTGGACAGGAGCCTTTCTATGCGATTTTCACAAACGGTGGCACAGGGCCCCCTCGGGCACCACCCGGGGCGGGGGACTCGTGTCTGTTCCCCATCATGCACCTGCCAGTGTGGTAGCTGGCACTCAGAAAATAAGGAAGCTGTTGGGCTGCAAATCTAGGGAAGAGGGGTTGGGGGGGCTGCCGAGGGCTCAGGCTTCAGAGGACAGAGCAGGGGTGAGGTGGGAGATCACAGACACAGGACTGAGGCTCAAGGGCCATTTCAACTTTTAGAATAGTGATGTATTTTTTATTAAAGAAGAGAATAAAGCATTTGTAAATATATTTCTCTCATGTATACTTCAAAGGTGACGTTGGTTGGCGCTACAGACCTGGGGAGCAAAGAGGCAGGAGCCCTCCCCCACTCCACCCCTTCACCCCAGATGACAGAGACACACGGGGGGGGGGGCTGGCAGCTGCCCAGCGCCCGAGTACAGGAGGTTCCAAGATGTGTGAACGAGGGGCCGCTGCCGGCTCTTCACAGTGTGGCCTGGAGAGCTCGGTGGGGCTCCAGGAAGGCCCGGCACGCTTGTTAAGAAAACCCCTTTACCCATTAGAAAGGGATAAGGCATGAGGGTCCCCCGCTGCACCCCAGCAGAGCCAGGGCCTCGCACCAGACCGGGTGTCTCTGTGACTTCTGGGGTCTCGGGACGGGCAGCAGGAGGAACTGGAAACCCAGAAGAATTGCTTAGGGCAGGCTGGGGACCTGGGCACCTCCTTGCTGTGGCCGGTCTCTCTGGAGCTTAAACACTGACTCGGCTGGGTCCTCGGAAGCCCCCCGACAAAGGTGGGAGGCAAAGAGCAGGCAGGGAGCGATCTGGTGTCTGCCCCACCGCATTTCAACACTGTTCAGTGTGGGGAGGGAATCCTGGGCAGCGAAGCAGGCCAGGGTAGGCCTGGGACCGCTGGCTGGGGCACATGCCCAGGGTGCGGGGGGTGGCGGCAGGTGTGGCCTGGGCCGGGCTGGGCCCGTGGGGGGCTTGGGGGTGAATGAGACGTCATGGTCCCTGAGATGGAGCAGACAGAGGTCAAGCTGGGTGGGTTGGAAGCCGCTCAGTGGTTCGCAGAGATGGGGGCTCCCCAGTGCCCAGAGCCCTAGAAGGCTTCTTGCCCAGAAGGCGTTCCAGGGGCAACTGGAACTAGAGGAGGCTGGCTCTGAGGAAAACTGGGTGTACGGCTTGTGTATGGCTGCAGAGGGGCTCCCTGTCCCCCTCCTCTGATTGGCTACAGATCTGGCCTGAGGGTTCAGGGGAGAAGCTGGCCCTCCCCAGGACCTGGCTGAGACAGCTGGTGCTCAGGGCCTAGCCCACTGAGGTTGGGTAGAAGCAGTGGTGGTCCGGGGGGACCCTGGAGCCTGCAACAGCTGACTCTGGGGTCCCCTTTCAAGTGTTTCCAGTTGTGGCAAGGGCACAGGGAGCCCCTGCATTGCAAATCTCTCAACCCACCCCACCCCCAACCCAAACTCTGAAAAAAAGCCAAAAAGCCAACTGGCCCAGAGGGCTTCCAGAAGCCTGGCCGCAAAGCTGGAAGCAAGGAACGGGGTCAGGGAGCCAGGCCTGGAGGGCTGGGGGCGTTTGGCTTGCAACTGGGAGCTGGGCCTCTGGGCTGACGGGATGGTGGAGGGCCGTGGACCGGGCCGCTGACCGCCTCCGTCAGCGGGGGACAGGCCGCACCCCCGCACGCTGCTCCCGGGCGGGAGGGGCCACCGGGGTGTCTTGCTGAGCGGCCTGACCGGACTGCGGGGCAGGGAGGGTCACTTGCTACTGTGTGTCTTCACTTTGGTGGCATTGATGTCGGCCTTGGTCTTCTGGATCCGGGAGAAGATCTCCTTGAAGAGCGCCTTGTACTCGGGCTGGCTCTGCTCCAGCCGCTTGTCCACGGCCTCCACGTGCAGGCTGAGGCTCTTCTCCGCCGCCTTGGCCTCCCCCTGGCCCTCCTCACCCCCCAGCAGGTCCCTCCACGAGCTGTCCCGGGAGACGGGCCGGGAGGTCTGCACGCCGGCGTGCCGCACCCCAGCCCCGTGCTGCCGGCACTTGCTCAGCAGCTCCTCGTACTTGTCCAGCAGCGCGTGGTACTGCTCGTCCACCTCGCGCAGGATGGACATGCCCCGCCGGCGCACGCTGTTGGCGTGCAGCGTCAGGTTGCCCGCGTGCCGGCTGGCGGGGTCCTTGGCCACGATGGCGTTGAGCGCCGTGTCGCTGCAGCTCTTGCGCACCGCGTGGCTGGGGGACGTGGCCGGAGACGAGACGCAGTCCTGGATGCCCGAGTCGTCCCCGCTGCCGGGCTGGGGGTCGTCGGCCTCGGGGGCCTGCGTGAGGGGCGCCAGCAGGGCCTCGGCCAGGTGGTCCTCCCGGCCCAGCAGGTAGGTCTTCGCCTGCTTCATCTGCTGCAGCTCCAGCAGCTCGGCCTCCAGCTCCCGCACGCGCAAGCGGCAGGCCTCCATGTGGCAGAGCTGCCGCTCCAGCTCCGAGCACTCCTGCAGCACCGCCGCGTACTCGCGCTCCGCCCGCTCCTTGCGCTGGCGCTCCTGGCTCACCTGGGAGCGCAGCACGCCCACCAGCGTCTGCAGCCGCTCGTTCTCCTGCTCCAGGGGCCGCGGGCCCAGCTCTAGGGAGGAGCTGTGCAAGCGGAAGGCATCCTCACACCTGGCAGGGCGCAGGGCAGGGGTGCTGGTCATCGCCAAGGCCCCCACCCCCACCCCCACCCCACACTCACACCTCGCCCCAGGGCCAGAAACCCTGTTTGCCCGCTGGCTCCACCCCCCGCCCCTCTGCCCTGGCAGGCTGACCTCACCGCGGCGGGGAGGGAGACCCTCTCACCAGAAGGAGGTCACAGGTGGGACGGAGAGGAGGTCCTGGGAGAGGCCTCCTCACGCGCCAGACGTCTCCTGACCCCCCGGGCTTGCTCACAGCTCCCCTCCTGTTGCAGCCCGGGCCCCTGCACCCCTGTGGATCACCCTCCCTTTCTCCATGCACAGCGTCAAGGTGCCCTCCGGCTCCTGCCAGGACCTTGCCGAGACTCCCACTCGCACAGCAAGGGTTCGACATGAAGTCGCCCAGTACAAGACACAGCGTGAGCGGAAAGGTTAACCCTCCTGGGCGCCGCTCCCGGCTCACGGAGCAGGTGAGCTGGGGTGAGACGCAGAGCAGGGGGATGAAGTGCAGAGAATGAAACCACTACGCAGAGCGGCTGGCGGCTGTCTCCCTGGGCTGGGACAGCCCCTGAAGCTCATCCCACCTCCCGTCGGCCGCCCAACCCCTCCTCCCCGGGCTGGCAGTGGCGGGAACTTGGAACTGCGTCCAGGGCCCGGCTGCTCCCCCCAGGGGCCTCACCTACCTGGGGCTGGTGCACAGCTCCTTGAGGCAGGGGAAGGTGTGGATGGTGCGCCTGCGCTCCCGCCTCTCCCGGCGCACCCGCAGCTGCTCCAGGCCCCGCAGCTGCTCCACCTGGGCCTGCAGCTCCTCCACCTGCGCCTGCAGGCGCTCAATGGTCTCGGACAGCCTGAGGTTGGAGGGGGGGGAACCGGGGGGGGGTTGCGGGGGGGGGGCAGTCCTCCTCTGGGCCGCCCCCGCGAGTGGGGTGGGGGCCAGCGGGCGATCGGAGGCGCAGAGCCCGCCACGTGACGCGGGGAGTCCGGGACCCCACCCTTCCCCCGCATGTCCCGGGCCCAGGACCCTTCCTCCCGGGCCAGCTGGGTTCCTGGTGCCCTCTGCCACTTATCACCCTGCACGGCAATAAAATATTTACACGCCCGCTCCCCTCCGGCTGTGGGCTCCAAGCCGGGGCAGTGGCATTAGTTTCCCTAATGCCGGACGCCTGCAGGATCTCGGCCTGAAGGTTAAACCTCGCCAAACCGACTCGCGCAGACCACTGCCCTCCCAGGCCCACGCCGGCCCCGGCTGGGTCAGCCACTGGCCCTTCGCCGTGTGCGCGTGCGTGTGCCCAGCGCCCTCCCCAGTCTCCGGCTGGCCTCACCCGTGGATCTTCTGCTGGGCGGCCTTGCTGTCCAGCACCAGCTTCTGGTTGGTCAGCTCCAGGTCTCGGGCCGTCAGGTCCAGTTGCTCGTAGACTTTGGCGTGCTGCTCGTTCACACACCGCAGTGTGTCCAGCTGCTTGGTCAGGTACTGAGGGGCCCGGGGAGGGGTGAGGGGCGAGTAGCCGTTTAGAACAAGACTGGGGCTAACCTCGCCCCACCCCCAGCCCTTCTTGCCACTTCAGCAGTGTGGAGAGTGGGGTGTAAGAAAGACGTGGCACACTGGGGCCGCCTGGGACAGTCGTGCAGGTCGTGAACTGCACGGGGGCCTGCGGTGGGGTGGGGGCTGCTGGGAGGGTCTGTGCGGGCCCCTCACCTCGATCTCCTGCACTTGCTCCTCGTTGGTGGAGTACATCTGCTGCAGGGACTCCTCCAGCTCCTTGTTCCTCTCCAGCAGCGTCTTCCCCAGCTCTGCGGCCAAGTGCAAGTCTGCGGCAGAGGCGGTCACGGAGGAAACGTGAGCAACAGGAGGCCGGAGGCCCCCACCAAGGCCCTGCGAGCACACCGGGCACTTGTTCCGAGCCCCGCTCTGGGCTGGGGGCTGGCGCCCCAGGGCAGCCTGGGCCAGGGGCCGCCCTCCGCGCTGAGCTCTGCGTGCCCGGGGGCCTTCCCCAGACACTCCTGCTCATCTCGCTCCTCTTTTAGGCCTGATCTCAACGGCCACTGGTCCGAGAGGCCTTTCCCAGCCACTGACCCAAGACTGTGCCCTCCCCCACTTAATTCTCCTTCGCACTTGTCACCATCCAACTTATCAAAGGACCTGCCCATTTATCTTGTTTATCTCCCCCCGCTGGCTGTACGCTCACGGGACAGGGATTCTTGCCTGTTTTATTCCCTGAGATCCCCATTTCTAGGGTGGTCCCCGACACAGAGAAAGTACACATTAATCTTTTTGAAAGAGAGTGACAGGCCGTCTGCAGGCACAGGGCCAAGTGCCTGAGATGACGGCTAAGAGGGGAACAATTGGCCCTCCCTGGTGGCGCAGCAGGTTAAAGCGCAGCACTGAGAAGCTAAAGCCACTTCCGCCTGAGTTCGATCCCTGCCTGCCCCGGAGGTGACCACATGGCGTGGCAGACCTCTCCTGACCCGCCCGCTGCTCCCCTCAGCAGTGTGCTTCGTCGATCTGCCTGTTCTGCTCCCCACTCTGTCTCTGGTGAAGCCTCTCGCCGCCCCTGAGCCTCTGACCTGTACCCCAGTTCTGTATGAACAAATAAATCTTTAAAAAAAAAAAGAGGGGAACGATCGCTGTGCACAGTGGGGTGTGCAGGCAATGGGGACCTTGGGGGGACTTGGATGGGGGGCTTGGGGTTCACGGAGAGGGCTGGCTGACTGTTAGAACGGGTGGGGCCCGGGCGCTCTTGAGCCCCCCGAGCTCTTTTTCTGTGGATGGTGGACCAGAGAGGAGGAGGGAAGAGCCACCTGGGATCTGCCGACCTGCAGGGCGGGCTGGGGTCTCGCTGGTCTGCAGGAATTGAGGGCTCCTTTGGCATGGCCAGGGGGTGGAGCTTGGCCCTCTTTCCTTGGGCAACAAACCACCCTCCACCCCCAGCAGCCCTGGTTGTCACACCCCACGGCAGGGACTTCCTCCTCCCTTGCAGCCAGAGGCTGGGGGACACCAGCCTGAGGGGCTGTGTGTGAGGAAGGGAGGGGCGGGAAGAACAGGCCAGTCCCGGGGTCCCGGGAGGGGAGCTGGACGTTAGGGTGACTATCCCCTACAGATCAACATAGGCCTGGCTTCTCAGGAACCCAGGCAACAGTAGGTATTTTATGTATTTGCACATGAAAAAGCATTTATGTCACATCAGTGTGAACTGTTTATAGTCCATCATTCCCTGGGTTTCTAAGAAGAATGCGGCAGTGATGGCAATGTCTGAGACTGCAAGTGGCCACCGCGAGGCAGCGCGTTCGATGAGTGAATTACATGGGTGCAAACTGTCTCTCAATAAAAGCTCTTTTTTTTTTTTAAGGGTTGGTGGGTTGTAGTTAACTGAAAATTAAAGTACTCTTTAAACCTTGATCTGTTATACTGAACTGATCGTTTTCACCAAGGGTTTAGAGATTTTTAAATATTGGGGAAAAAATTTTAAGCATAGAATAGTATCACTGATGTTTTTCTCCCGATAAGTTACTGGAAGGTTTTGCTATTTAAGGGCTTATGATACCTTTCTCTTTTTTTTTTTTTTTTCAGATTTATTTATTTATGCATACAGAACTGGATTATAGGCCAGAGGTGCAGGAGTGGTGAGAGGATTCACCAGAGATAAGAGTGGGGAGCAGAATGGGCAGACTGATGACAGACTGCTGAGGGGAGCAGTGGGGAGACAGGAGAGGTCTGCCATGCCTGTGGGTCAGCTCCTGGCTGGGGATCGAACTTGTGCTGCAGTGACTGTGGACAGCTTCACTGTCCCTGGCAGTGAACACCTTGTGCCACCAGGGAGTTGCTTGAGGTGGTTTCTTAAAACAGCCCCCCCCCCAACATTGTTTAAATCCAGATCAAAGCAATCAGAGGCAGCTTTGCCCGGGAAGATGTGATCTAGGAATTTAGCTCTCTGCCCCTTTTCAGACAGGGTTCGTTCTAGGTTCCCAGGGAGGGACAACCTCTGTACTCTCTCCCAGAGTTTTATAGCGTGGTTTCAGCTGATGCCTGTACCTGGCAGGCCTGGAGTGGGGAGGTTTCATTTTGAAGAGCCTTAACCCATTGGAAAGCAGAGCCTCCGTGACCAGATGTCACCCGGAGCGGCTCCTGGCTGAGAAGCAGTGACAAAGTGTTCTAGAGCAAGGCTACCATGACTTGGCCTGCAGAAACACAAGCAGTTTTCCAAATATCTACCACAGCTTTTAAAAAAGCCCACTAAATCATCCACACACCGATAAGAACTTGTAACCCTCAGCAATTAATTTTCTGCCGAGGATGCCAAGAAAAACTAGCTAGTCACAAACACAAACCCGGTGGTGGGATAGTGACATTGCCTGAGTTTATTAACCAGAAGTTGGGCACAAGTCTGGGGCTGTCTGTCTGCAAAGTGTGAAGTCTGCACTGCAACCCTGTGATGCCGCATGCGTGGCAGACTCGGGCGCCAGAGAGGCCACCCCTGGCTCCTGACGAGGGAGGGACATCGTCTTCCCATACTCCGTGATGGGATGGTGGGTGTCCCCAAATACTAATAGAGGGTCCGGGTATAAGAGGAAAGAACAGGACCACACACTCCGGGCAGGGCTTTCTCCCTGGGACAGTCAGCTTGTCAGGGAAGAGGCCGGTGCTACTGACGCCGCCTCCTGGGTTGGCAGGGGGCAGGTTCCGGGGTGGCCTTGGTGGTGCCCGACACTTAACCTAGAGAGTCCAAGGCCAGAGGCGGAGGAAGGAGAAGCCCAGGGATAACTGCACTGCTCTTCCTTCCCAGTGAGCATCTGGGGGTGTGCATTCCTGCTGCTGGGGGCGCAGCTGCACTATAAGCCAGGGACACTGAAGCTGGGCCTGAGTAGGCAGCAAGCATGACCCGGGCTGCCGAAGGGCTCAGACATGGGAGGGGAGACAATGGGAGCTCTTTGGGCTGGGGACACCAGAGGCGGTCACAGGGCCGCTGACCCACGGAGCAAGCTGGCCAAGTTGCCAGTGGGCGGAGGGGATCAGGAGCGAAATGCAGAGGCTCAGACAAGGGGACTGGGTGAAGCCAAGGGCTCGGGAGAGGACACCAGCCGGCAGTGTCCTCCAGTCTCCCAGGAAGGAACAGCTGCCCCTAGAACACAGGGGTGCAGAGGCCTGGAGGTGGAGAATGGGGGAGCTGGCCACGCTACCGGGGGAACGGGGAGCAGCTTATCACAGCCAAGTTAGTGGTGGCACTGGACCAAGCCGGGGTGGTGCTGATGCGGCACGTCCCCGGCGCCCGAGTTTCCTGGGGTCTCCGGCAGTGGCCTTCAGCATTCTGTCCTCTGAATGCCTGTTGAGAAGCTGGCACCTGCGACACCCAGAGGCCCGAGAGGGTGAGAAGGGACAGGGCACAGTGCTGGGAAGAAGAGACAAAGGGGGTGGGGGGGGGACGCCACCTGGCAGGCCTGGGGGGAAACTGCCTCCGAGGGCGAATGTCAGGAACTCTGGGTTCTCAGAACTGGGGCTGTCACCACCGTCCACTCAGCATGGCAGAGCTCTTCCCCGAGGCTGAGACTCAAGGTCAGGTGTCAGGATTTCAAATCTGACTCAGCAGTCATCTCGTCTGGGAAGAGGTCCCCACTGGGCCGCCACACCCGGTGGGGGGGGCAGCAGTGCCAGCGCTTAATAATTAATGGCTTTTTCTATTTTTGCAAGCGCTCTTGGCCATGGGCAGAACGCACATGGTGTGCATCGAGGCCCCTGCTTGTCCCAGTCGCTTCCGTCCGTGGGGCCGGCATCAAAGTCACACAGGATCTGGATGGCCACATGGAGTGAGCTCAGGCATGGGGGGCCAGGCTGGCCGAGCCAAGCCACGCCCTGGTCCCTCAGAGGCAACGAGTGGGCAGCTGGGCAGGAGAGGACTGGGGGATCAGGTGTGGGGAGGGGCACCTGGCCCCCAGGGTGGCTGGTCCTTGGCCCAGGCTCACCCCCGCCCCCAGCTCTCCATGCCGGACTGTGGGTTGGTGCTGCAGAAGCTGTGCCTGGCACCTAGGCACCTCCCACTCTCCAGCCCTGGCAGTCATCCCCCTCGCTCTCTGCCTTGGCATGGTGCCCGCCACTAGATGCCTGCCCCGAGCCCCTATCTCCCCGCCAGCTCAGACTGGGTCTGCTCACGATTCGCTGGGTGAGGGCTGCCGCGGACCCCCTTGGCTGTCATGGTTGCAGGCGGGACCCCACGCCCGCCCCTCTGCTGGACGGTGGAGCCCTGGGGACTAGAGACGGAGCCTCCGGCGCAGCACAGCGCTGCTGTGTGGATTTCGGTGAAAGCTCGTTTCTCCTGATGGTCTCGTTCCTGGTTTCCCTCCTTGTTCCTGAGCTCTGGCCTTGCTGGGCTTTGCAGTGTGGCCCACAGCTCCAAGTCAGGAAGGGCCAGAGAGCGGGGTGCTGGGTCCACCCGCACCCCCGCCCCAGCGCAGGAGCCCCTGGCCCAGCTGGAACCTCCACACCTCCCTTCTCTCCCTGGAAGCGGCGCATCTCCCAGCCCCACGCCGGCTCCTCCCTCCCACATCTGGGGCGGGCATGGTGCCAGAGACGTCGTTAGCATGCGGGACTGAACCGAGACAGCAGCAATGTCAGCATCTGCCTCTCCGGAGGCCATCTTCCCGGGAACTGGCCTCCAGACTGCCCCAGGCCTGGCCTGCCTCATCAAGCTCAGTTACAGACGCACTTTCACCTGGGGAGGGGGGTCAGGGCGCCTGGGGTGATCCCAGCTCTGACACTGTTGGGCCTCCCACTCCAGGCCAGGCGGCTCGAGGACTCCAGTGCATGACGTGCAGCCGCCCCAGCCCCACGGCCCCTCAGAGGCTCTGACTAACCCTCAGCCCCGAGCACAGGGACAGAACCTCACCAGAGGCCGCACGGGGAGGTGGGTCAGGGGCAGGAAACAGGCCCCAGGATCTGGTAGGTGCCTTTTGTGAGGGCAAAGCCAGGCCTCTGGGGCCCTGAGGAGGGACGCCAGGGGCAGCGGCTGCTGGCTCACTGGCGGGTGACCAGCCCCTCTCCCTGCACGTGAGCTCTCACCGTCCAAGAATAAGAAGCTTTCGGGGACAGAGAAGGTGGCTTTGACTCCACTGGGGCAGGCCTGGGCCCGGACCCTCTCAGGCCTCCTCCTCCTTCCTGTCCGAATGAGCCCCACCCCTGCTCGGAATGATGTCACTTCGGCCACCTCACCACCAGCTCTAACCCCTTTCCAGTCACCCTCTCTGCTCAGATGGGAGGTGAATGGAGTGATCCCTTTACTGGGGCTCCACTGTGTCTCAAACCTGAACCCCTCCAAACCCCAGCCACTTGGGAGGGCACAGGAGGGGAAGGGCCAGGGACTCCGCCCTCAGAAGGCAGAATGGAGAGGCCATCTGATTTCCCACGTGCTGGTGCCTTTACCTCCATCTCCTCCCTGGGGTAGAGGAGAGAGGAGCTGGGAAACTTTCTGGGAGAAGTGAAAGTCTGGGAGTCAGGAGTCCCGGCAGGGGAGGGCCCATTGGATTTGGAGGGGATAACTTTCCCAACAAACACGCATGCCAGCCCTGGCAGCAAACAGAAGGAAGGAGTCATGTCCCAGCCTCTAGAAACTTCCAGCGGTACTCAGGCTCCTAACAATACCAGGGCGCCTCTAAGAACGGGGTGGACGAGCTGGGCGAAGAATGCTCGGGGTGTCCGTGGAAAGAGGAAGACAGCTCTCCCACTTTTGCAGGTCTCTGCGGGTCGGGTCCGGGTGTTCCGGACAGCGCCCCCCTAACTGCAAGTGCCGAGTCCTCACACGGATCCCCCTCCTCACCCCACCCACCCCCCGACGGACGCACTAGGTCCAGCCCGGCCCTCTCCTGGGCGCTAGTAGCCCAACAATGGAGAAGCGGACAGGGTCGCGGGGCGCACCCCGCCTTCTCGGCCCCCCTCCCCCGTGCTCACCCTGCTCGAGGTCCTGCTGGTCGTACCACGGCTCCTCGTCCTCTGCGGAGAAGTCCTCCATGCCGGCGGCTCTCCGCATGGCCCC